TGCTTGGGATTCTCTCTCTCTCTCTTTCTGCCCCTCCTCTGCTCTTTCTCGCTCTTTCTCAAAGATACATAAACTTAAAATTTTTCTTTTAAAAAAGAAAAGACACAACTAACACACACACACACACACACAGGGTCTGACATATGTATGATATTCAATAAATATGAAAAATAAACAAAGTGAGAGGAAGGAAGGATGGGAGGAAGAAAGAAGGAAATATAGTGTTATGCACTGATATTTTTTTAAGTTTTTTTTTTAGCAATCTCTGCACCCAATGTGGGGCTTAAACTCACAACCCCGAGACCAAGAGTCACATGCTCCTCCAACTGAGCCAGCCAAGTGCCCCTACGCATCACTATTTTAAAAGTATGACTTTTAGGGGCACCTGGGTGGCTCAGTCGGTTAAGCATCTGACTCTTGATTTCAGTTCAGGTCATGATCTCAATGGTTCATGGGTTCAAGCCCTATGTGGGGCTCTGCACTGATAGTTCAGAGTCTGCTTAGGATCTTCTCTCTCCCTCTCTCTCTGCCCCTCCCCTGCTCATGCTCTCTCTCTCTCTCAAAATAAATTAAAAAAAATTTTTTTTAAAGTATGACTTTTATGCTCTAAAGATGATGAAACCACCTGAGAAAATTAGGGACACTTACAAAAGTAAGTTACTGACAAAAGTAAACACTTATGATAAATGAGAACTACATCCGACTTGGCCTTTGGAAGCTTCACTCAGAAGGTAGGGAGGGAGAGGAGGAGGGATCAAGCAGGAGGCAAGAGACCAGATTCCTCTCCCAGGACCAAAGCCTGGAGCCAGATCCTTAAAAGTCCCCCCACGTATTGCCCTGCTTAAAAAAGACTTAATGAGCCCCAGACAAACTTGGTGAGAAAGAGCCCTAATACAGAATTCCTCCCCTAGGGGACTATTTTCAATGGTTATAATGGAAAGGGAGGAAGAAGGGTGAATGTGTACAGAATAAAAGGAGGCTAGCAGAGAAGGAAGAGGATGTAGAGCCAGAAAAAAAGAGTGATGTATGCATGTGTATATGTACATGTGTATGTGTGTGTGTATATATATGAGTATGTGCATGGGTGTTTCATGTGCATATGTGTGAGTGTGTGTGTGTGTGTGTGTGTGTGTGTGTGTCTGTGTCTGTGATCACAAAGTATGGGCAATGCCAATCAGCTGTGACCCAGTCAGCCTGCCCCCAGG